ATATATATATATATATATATATATATATATATATATATATATATATATATATATATATATATATATATATATATATATATATATATATATATATATATATACATATATATATATATATATATATATATATATATATATATATATATATATATATATATATATATATATATATATATATATATATATATATATATATATATATATATATATATATATATATATATATATATATATATATATATATATACATATATATATGAACATACGTTTTTTCTAGTTCTCAAATCTTATTGGCTGATGTCATGTGATATCCTACTAGTATCAGAACTCTTCACCCCACTAAATTCTTTTATTCAGCATCTGTATATTGTTGTTTGTTACATTTTATTGTTCAATAAATTCCATTTAATATAAATTGTAGTAATATTTAATAAAAAAATTTTGTTTTAAACCTTTTTAGCCCTATAATCTTGATCTGTGAGCCAGATCTTCTGTATTGTCATCACCAAGTCTTTACAATACATTATTCAAGACTTTGTTTGTATTTGTAAAGGCTTTTGCCGTTTAGATGGTCAACTGCACATGTGAAACTGTGGTGGAAAAAGTAGTCCTACAAACAAAAGAGATTTTAAGACCCTCTGTATTTGATTTGATTTTTATGATCAAGATTATGCAGTTAAATATTGTATAAATATAATATAACACAAGTAGCACTACAATATGTCTGTAAATACACACTGTTGTGACACTACGGCACTCATAAATTATTTTTATGGGTGGGTTTCCTGCAGGTGATCCAGGTTAGGCCCAAATTGGATAAAACTAAATCCAATCCACTAAATTTGGCCGTAGTGTGTGGTTCATTCTGCTGTGGCGACGCCTGATTAAGCAAAGGAAAAAGAGTGAGTATTACAATTTTATTTATTAATTATTTTACCATTTTTTCTTATTATTCATTATAAATAAAAGTCTCAATTCAGACAGAAATGCTATCAACTGAATCAGCTTGTTATCCATGGGTCTGCCATCTATCCATTTTCCTTTCATTTAAGAATGATCAAGCAAAATATTCCCAAACCGAAGACTATGACAAATAGACTCTGATCTGGCGAAGTTGACTTCCACACATCCAATTAAGAGGCTAGTCAAACATTTCCGAAAGGCTTTGGACGTTGTTCAGCGGTGGACACGGGACACACTCCTCCCCTCCGTGCTTCCCATCTGCTCCTCTCTGCGGGACACGTGGCCGACTCTTCTTCCAGTGCTCCCGTATTGCTAACAGAATGTGCGAGCAGCAGGGGGCTCTCTTTAGCTTAATTAGCTTCTCACTAACGAGACATGCCATACTATAGGATGCAACGACAGTGTGAGACGTGGACACGCGCTGAGCTATTATGTTTCTTGAGTAGTGCTGAGAAACCCAATCTCATCTGTCCTTGAGAGGTGTTAACTGATCTGATTTATCAGAGCAGGAGGCGCGAATGCTACCTACGGCTAAAATTCATACGGTTTAAAACTCATTTTACCAGTTAATAATATGATAATCCTGGTCTTAAATGTTTCACCATGCGCTATTCGTGATCAGAGTTTCTGATTTTGAAGATTATAGGGCCCAAAAACGTGTCTATTTTCTTTTTAGTTCAATGCAAAGAACTGTTCGTGTCTAAACAGAGTTCGGTTTGAAGGCAATCTAAATTTAAAAATATAACACGTTCAAGCACAGCTACAGTTGCAATTATTTAAATTGACTCTGTGACTGAATTAAATATTACTGACAAGTAATAGGCCAGTCTCTTATATACCTTTTACATAACATATTCAGTAATGCTGAAATCATGTACAGTATATAACTAGTTAAGTTGCATCATTTTAACCTGAATATCCCCGATGCGTGCTATATATGTAAACAAGAGAAGGGAACTTTATTTAATTGTATGTGGGAGTGTACTTAAGGCTAGTGTTTTGAGGTTAAAATAATGAATAATGTACAGTGCATCCGGGAAGTATTCATAGCGCTTCACTTTTTCTTTTATGTTACAGCTTTTTTCCAAACTGGATTTAATTAATTTATTTCCTCAAAATTCTACATGCAATACCCCATAATGACAACGTGAATAAAGATTTTTTGGAATTGTTGCAAATTTATTAAAAATAAAAAATCTGAAAGATCACATGTACACAAGTATTCACAGTCTTTTCTTTATACTTTGTTGATGCACCTTTGGCAGGAATTACAGCCTCAAGTCTTTTTGAATATGATGTCACAAGCTTGGCACAACTGTCTCTGGGAATTTTTGCTCATTCCTCTTTGCAGTACCTCTCAAGCTCTATCAGGTTGGATGAGAAAGCGACAGTGTACAGCAATTTTCAGATCTCTCCAGAGATGTTTATTAGGATTTAGGTCTGGGCTCTGGCTGGGCCATTCAAGGACATTCACGGAGTTGTTGTGAAGCCACTATATTGATATTTTGGTGGTGTGCTTTGGGTCATCATCCTGCTGGAAGATGAATCGTCACCACAATCTAAGGTCAAGAGCACTCTGAAGCAGGTTTTCATTAGCGATGTCTTTGTACATTGCTGCATTCATCTTTCACTTTATCTTGACTATTCTTCCAGTTCCTTGTGCTGAAAAACATCCCCACAGTATGACGCTGCCACCACCATGCTTCACTGTAGGGATGGTATTAGCCTGGTCATGAGTGGTGCCTGGTTTTCTTCAAACATAAGGCCGTGAGTCCTTTAGATTCCTATTAGCAAATTCTTGTTGGGGTGTGGCTTCCATCTGGCCATTCTAGCATACAACCCTGATTGGTGGATTGCTGCACAGATTGTCCTTCAGTAAGGTTCTCCTCTCTCCACAGAAGAACGGTGGAGCTCAGACAGAGTAACCATCGGGTTATTGATCACCTCCCTGGCTAAAGCCCTTCTCCTTTGATCACTCAGCTTAGATGGCAGGCCAGCTCTAGGAAGAGTCCTGGTGGTTCCAAACAGCTTCCACTTATGCATGATGGAGGCCACTGTGCTAATTGGAACTTTCAGAGCAGCAGAAATTTTTCTGTAACCTTTTCCAGCCTTGTGCCTCAAGACAATCTCGCCTCTGAGGTCTATAGATGATTCCTTTGTCTTCATAATTGGTTTATGATTTGACATGCACTGTCAACCCTGGGACCTTATATAGACAGGTGTATGCATTTTCAAATCATGTCCAATCAACTGAATTTACCACAGGTGAACTCCAATTAAGCTGCTGAAACATCTCAAGAATGATCAGTGGAAATGGAATGTACCTGAGCTCAATTTAGAGCTTCACGGCAAAGGCTGTCAATAATTCTGCACATGTGATTTTTCAGGTTTTTTTATTTTAAATAGATTTGCAACAATTTCACATTTTACATTGTCATTATGGGGTATTGTGTGTAGAATTTTGAGAAAATAAATGAATTTAATCCATTTTGAAATAAGGCTGTAACATAAAAAGTGTGGAAAAAGTGAAGTGCTATGAATACTTTCCAGTATACCCTTCAAGTTATATAACATATTAATTAACGCTGAAATCACGTTCAGTATATAACTACAGTTAAGTTGCATCATTTCAACCTGAATATCCCCGATGCATGCTATTAATGTAAACAAGAGAAGGGAACTTTATTTCATTATATGTGGGTGTGTACTTAAAGCAATTGTTTTAGGGTTAAAATACTGAATATTGTAGGTAAAATCATTATTAATCATGGTGTCATGGAGTTCTTCCAATGAAAAATAATTCCTTTTGATCCCAGCTTGTGTAAACTGCATATTTTTCCATTGAACTAATCCGACGAAACATGAAAAACAAACTGTTAGTTTTGTTTGCTGGATGACCTCTTGCCTTGCTTTAGAAAAGATCACCTATTTTTAAAAACAAAAACAAATTTCATATAGTTTGATCTATTTGGTAAGTTTTCCACCACTTTTTTCAGAGTCTAAATAGTGACACATTGAAAGTAAACTACCTGACAAAAGTCTTGTCTTGAATCCCAGTTCAAATCCCAGTAAGAGCAACAAATAATAACTTGACTTCAACAGTAGTTGATCATTTGGAAAAATGGCAGAAGGTAGATTTTTCTGATAAATCATCTGTTGAACTGCATCCCAATCATCAAAAATACAGCAGAACACCTACAGTATTGGACCCAAGATTCTCACTGAAATCAGTCAAGTTTGGTGAAGGAAAAATCATGGTTTGGGGTTACATTCAGTAAGGGGGCATGCGAGAGATCTGCACAGTGGATGGCAACATCAACAGCCTGAGGTATCAAGACATTTGTGCTGCCTATTACATTACAAACCACTGGAGAGGGCAAATTCTCCAGCAGGATAGAGCGCTACTCCTTCTCATACTTCAGCCTCCACATCAAAGTTCCTGAAAGCAAATAAGGTCAAGGTGCTCCAGGAATGGCCAGCCCAGTCACCAGACATGAACATTCCTGAGCATGTCTGGGGTAAGATGGAAAGATTAATCAAAAGAATCTTGATGAATTTAAAGAACGCTTTCTTTGTTATTCCAGATGACTTTTATGCAGTCCTCCAAGCTCATGGGAGTCATACATAATATTAATTTTTTTCCCACTGCGCCATGACTTTATATTCTATACTGATCATTATTTCTGTTAAGTAAAAAGACTTTTGTCTAAGCAATGTCAGACCTTCCTCTCTTATTTAAATAATTAAAAATCAAGGCATGATCAAATTTTTATTTTGGTAAAATAAGCGTAATCTAGAGACGTTTGCCTTACATATAAGCTACTTCTGATACCAAATGATCAACTACTGTAGAAGTCAGGTTACTATTTGCTGTTCCTAAAACTTGGACAGGCGACAAGACTTTTATCAGGTAGTGTATATCTTCAAAGTGTATCAAGTTATTTCGAGTTTATAAATTATTATTGTTGCATTTTTTTTTCTGCTAAACTAAAAATGACAATGCACGACAATGTTTAAAATAAAACAAAATGCTGAAATGACATTTTAGTTGATGTCTTTAGTAAAGTTTAGTATAACTAAAAATAATAATAATAACTATATAACAAAGCTAAGTATAACTGAGTACATCCCATTTTGAAAATTCATATTTTTATCCATTTCTCAGTGAATATAGGCATTGTAATTTGGTGCATTTCAACAAAACAGATTTATTAAATAGATATATTTATTAAAATAATATTTTAGTCACCAAACATATTTAGAAATTGAAAGATAATCCAATTAAATTCAAGCAAAATATTGCAATAAAAAATAAAAATAAATAAATAACAACCTACAAAAATTCAACCAAAATTTAAATCTTTCAATTTATTTTGCTTCTCTTGATTTTTCCTCTTTTTTTTTTATTTGTATTTAATATTTTTCTATAACATAAATTTAGTGTACTAGTTTTTGGATGGTTATCAGGAGGTATTTTGTTTATATAAGCTCCAGATGTGTCTTCCGTACTGACTAACCTAATGTATATGCACAAATATAATAATGTAAAGCTTCCAATTAAAAATATGAATTTAAAAGAGAGATTTGTGAGCGGTGTACTTATATATGTTGAGCACTTTACAAAAATGTAGCTGCTCACTAGTAACTGAATTCGTTTTTCCACAAATTTGGACTGTATATTTTTGTAGTTGAGTGCAGGGGTTTGGTACACACCAGGCTGCCGCCCGCTGGGTCACCTGTAGTGCTGGCAGGAACTCCTGCTCCACACATCTGGAGAGAAAAGACATCTGGAATGCCAGTCTGCCGCACCACAGAGTTGAAGAATGGCTCCACTGATGGGTCTGGCTGAGAGGAGAGAAAGGCAACCGTTTTTAAACCAAGTAACAACGTATAAAAACGTGGTACATAGTAATTGATTTCAGTACTTTAGCAAGCAACCTACTACATCACTACAAAAGTGAAAAGTAAACAGATTTCAGACTAAATTATGATTATTATAGTCTTTATTTTACCAGTATAAGGGCTCATTGAGATTAAAGAGCCCCTATTTGGGATTTTTGAAAATGAGCTTCCATGCAGTGTGTAAAGGCTGATTCATGATTCTACGTCAAGCGCACGTGTATGCTACGGCGTGGGCTACGCGTGGACACATGGCCCTCGCCGTTACCATCTCTGACGCGCACCTCTCAAAAAAAAGTAACTATATGTCGCAACGGCGAGTAGCGCTAGCTCTGTGATTGGTCGGCTTGGTAGAACTGACAAGTATGGGCGGGAATGAGAGTCCCGTGAGCCCGATGGAGCGAGTGTTTACAAGTGTGGAGTCCCGTGAAGGAGCCCCGAATGGGAAGTTTTGTTTTGTGTTTACCTTATAGTTAAATTTGTTGCACGTTCGCCGGTTCCTGCCTAAAAACGAGCAAGTTTAAACCACTTGTACATTAAGGAAGAATTTAGAAAAAGCAAAACACCAGCTAAGAAACTCAGCACAGAGGAACAAAAATACCTCATTGCCAGCTACCGTTTCGAAAGTGTTATTGCAGAGCAACCGAAACTGTGTCAAGTGATCGGCGTGACAGAAGTATAAACCAGGCTTAAAACAGAACTAAGTGAATGAAAACATCCAGCTGAGGTTTAAATCTGAGAGTTTAAAACTATTGATTTTTTTGTGAAGTAGTCTAATCAGAGTCGAATAAATGAATCGAGGATCTTTAGCTTGAACGTGTCGACATCGACACAGTACATCACCAAATATGTAGTGCCGGATCCGGTAAGACGTGAACGCGCCTTTCCCCTCAGACACTAGCAAAGTGCGGGGGATCACGGGACTGATCGTGACGCAAAGATGACGATCACTGACAGATGGAGATTCAACTAATGAATAAAGGGTTAACATTTATTTTTACAACAACACCACAATATCGCCAACCGTGTGCCGTGTTTGTTCCTGTCATTTTTTTGATGATTAATACAATAACCTACACTGCAATGCGGGATTCGCTGGCCGTTTGCTATTAAAGGAGCAGCAGAGACTATTATGTATGGGACTTTGTTATCAATTGTTACATTTCAAATAGACCAGTTTCTTCCTCCTCTGGATCATAACATGTAAGTTTAATTAAAATTGTTGCCTCGTTTTGTGTAGTTTGCAAAATATTTGAAAAATATTAAAGCCTGTGGATTAATACTGAATGTGTGTCACTGTTATTACTTGGGATTAGGTTTAAGAGTAGAGCAATATGCTGGTGTTTAACTGCATTGCTTTATTGCATTCCTGCATTGGGCTCTGCTACTTTGTACTGTAGCCATGGTGGGGATTTCTCTCTGCCTCGCGCTGAACGCAGTCTACCAATCACAATAGACTGGGTCATCGGACCAATTAGTGCAGATTAGCGTCGCATTAAGGAGGGGTTTGGGAACAAATGAATCGCTGAGCAAATCATATGGGAGCCGTTGGGATAATTAGGTAAAAATAAATACATATTATAAGACTAATATTTTTAATTATATTATGTAATTAATTATATTATATAATTATATATATTATTATGAATTTTATTATAATTTTTTTTGACCTTGCACACATATTAGCATGTTGTTGCAGACCCCTAAAACCAAAATATGACCCTTTTATAATGCAAAATATGAGCTCTTTAAAAATCTTTTTCAATAGTCTCCTGGACAAGATTAAGCCATGTACAGTTCACATGGGTTTAACAACAACAACAAAAATAAATAAATGTATAACAGGTAACATCATCCATTCATCAAAACACATATAATGACAGCTAAAACTAGTCTAAAAATCTACAATGTTTTAAATTCCACATAATGTCAAGTCTTTTTAAAAGTGTGTAGCAAAATCAACAAAACACCACTTGTTTGATTATATGAGCCACACCCTGGTAACACGTCTTTTAACTTACCACACGACACCCAATGCTGGGCTAAATCAAACAGCTGCACCCATCTCCAACATAGCACACCTTTTCTCAACAAAGCACCTACAGTACTGTGTAACACTCCATCATGTGACTTACCCGAGCCAGTAGAGGATATGCAAGTCCAAGAATCCCCTGCCAATTGATTCCAGGCAAAAAGAAGCCTTCTGAGGTGAGGATTGCGGCAATGTTGATGGTGATGGCACCACTGGGCCCTTCGGGAATGGTGATGAGGTCCGTTCCCAGTTCCCCTTCCCATTCGCCCTGTGTGTATTTTACTGCAACTGCCCTCTCGGTGCTCTGATATGTACTGGAACTGAGCAAACCATCATAACACTGATTAATAACTAATGCACTGCTGTGCATACATTCATATAATGTATATAAAGGTTTTGTCTTTGTTATAAACGAGTGGTGTGTTTTGGTTCTACACTGCTGTCTTGGTATTTCGTGTGATGTAGGGGTGTCGACTTGTTATGTGTACCGGTACTACAAATATTAGGAGTTATATTCAATGCTTTTAAACAATTCTTTGTTTCTTACTAGGGACCTTACAGTGATGTGGTTGAGTAGCATGTGATGCAGGAATCTTATATCGTAGTGTGTCATATAGAGATGTGATCTTAAAAGAGTGACACACCAAGCCGACATTTTGCAGCGTCAAGCTAGCGTCAGGCTAGTTCCTAAATCGCCTCTCATCAGGTTCTGTTATATTGTGTTATATTGATAAGGCTTCTGTTAGTACCCAGAATAGCAAAGTCTACTAAAGGAGGTTGAGCATTCTCACTTATGGCTCCTAAACTCTGCGAAATAGCCTTTCTGATAATGTCCGAGGCTCTGACATCCTCTCTCAGTTCAAAACTAGATTAAAGGCCTATCTTTTTAGTAAAGAGTACACACAATGCATCACATAACGGTATGATGCACAAGTGTGGTCCATGCAAGCGAGTGGGCTTGACAGCCACCTGTTGGACACACTCCTCCTGTCTTAATGCATCCGCGGAACACTTCTAGAGGTATCCATAATCCTGGACCAGGCCGTATCCTGAGCAAATGCTGTGTCCCATACATATGAAAGCAATTCTAACCAATTTTAGCTGATTTTGCTCTATCTCTATTCGAGGTGTCACTGTCAGTATGGTTAAAAAAACACTATAGTATTTACTATAAATTACTTTATACATTAACATTAACAGTATACATTAATGTCGGTGTCTGAAAACTGAAGATAGATCTGGTAGCAGATACTTGTTAACATTTATTATTATTTGTTTAGGATATACATTTTCACAATCTGATTACAATGCCTAATTATTCAATTGTTAAAATCACTATAATTAAATTAAATATCCTTAAGAATAAAATCTTATGTGTTCTTTGTAAGAGTGTACTTGCATTGTGATGATATTATATTGTCATTCTGGGATTATATAATGAGTGGCATAAAATGGTCATAAAATGACAATAATATGTTTATAGCTTTATATTTATAGCGCAATATACAGTGCATCCGGAAAGTATTCATATCGCTTCATTTTTGCCCCATTATTTTATGTTACAGCCTTTTTCCAAAATGAATTAGATTAAATTATATCTATTTATATGTATATTTATGAATTTATATCTATTTATATTTATATCTACACACAATACCCCATAATGAAAATGTGAAAAAAAGATTTTTTGAAACTGTTGCAAATTTATTAAAAATAAAAAAACCTGAGAAATCACATGTACATCAGTATTCACAGCCTTTGCTCTGAAGCTCTAAATTGAGCTTGGGTACATTCTGTTTCCACTGATCATTCTTGAGATGTTTCAGCAGCTTAATTGGAGTCACCTGTGGTAAATTCAGTTGATTGGACATGATTTGAAAAGTTCATACACCTGTCTATATAAGGTTCCAGGGTTGACAGTGCATGTCAAAGCACAAACCAAGCATGAAGACAAAGGAACTTTCTGTAGACCTCAGAGACAGGATTGTCGAGGCACAAGGCTGGGGAAGGTTACAGAAAAAAATTCTGCTGCTCTGAAAGTTCGAATGAGCACAGTCGCCTCCATCATCCATAAGTGGAGGATGTTTGGAACCACCAGGACTATTCCTAGAGCTGGCCTGCCATCTAGCCGAGTGATCGGGGGAGAAGAGCCTTAGTCAGGGAGGTGATCAATAACCCGATGGTCACTCTCCGACTATTGGAAACAAAATTCTCTGGTTTGATGAGACTAAAATTAAACTCTCTGTAGTGAATGTCAGGCGTAACATTTGGAGAAAACCAGGCACCGCTCATCACCAGGCTAACACCATCCCTACAGTGAAGCAAAGTGGTGGCAGCATCATGCTGTGTGGATGTTTTTCAGCAGTAGGAATTAGGAGAATGAAAACATGAATGAAAACCTGCTTCAGTGATCTTGACCTCAGACTGGGGTGACTGTTTATCTTCCAGCAAGACAATGACCAAAAGCACACCGCCAAAATATCAATAGAGTGGCTTTACAACAACTCAGTGAATGTCCTTGAGTGGCCCAGCCAGAGCCCAGACCTAAATCCTTTTGAACATCTCTGGAGAGATCTGAATATGGCTGTTCAACGCCGCTTACCATCCAACCTGATAGTGCTTGAGAGGTACTGCAAAGAGGAATGGGCAAAAATTCCCAAAGACAGGTGTGCCAAGCTTGTGGCATCATATTCAAAAAGACTTGAGGCTGTAATTGCTGCCAAAGGTGCATCAACAAAGTATTGAGCAAAGGCTGTGAATACTTGTGTACATGTGATCTTTCAGGTTTTTTATTTTTAATAAATTTGCAACAATTTCAAAAAATATTTTTTCACATTGTCATTATGGGGTATTGCGTGTAGAGTTTTGAGGAAATAAATGAATTAAATCCAGTTTGGAATAAGGCTCTAACATAAACAAATGTAGAAAAAGTGAAGCGCTATGAATACTTTCCGGATGCACTGTATCATACAACAAAAAATGGATATTGTGACCGGCCTACTTACAATGTTCTGTTACAATGTGTTTGAGGGTTGTGACCTTACACTGCTCTGTTAAAATATTGTTCAAAGCAGGAATTTGATGTTAAAGTGATCTGTTAAATGTATGCGTGATGTAGGGATGTGATCTTACAGTGCTCTGTTAAAGTAATGTGTGATGTAGGGATGTGCTGCTGCAGCTACAGCAAAGTTGCTGCTTCCAGTATCCACCAGGATGTTTAGCTGTAAATATAGAAAAAAATCTGTTAAATTTATTATTATTGGTATTTTTAATGCAACATTTGTTAACAATGTCATTTCAGAGCAATACCAAGCAGTAAATTCGATTGTAACAACATGTTAATTACTACAAAACACAAAAACATGCTGTTAAAGGTCCCGTGAAGTGCTTTGAAAAGTGCATTTGTATTTGATGTTTAAAATAATCTCACCTGAAAAATGAAGTGAGGGTGGGATGTAAATTATCCCCTCCCCTTTTTAAAAAGCAGCCAATAGTGTTTTGTTTTTATCATAGCTCGGCCAGTGAGAGTGGTTGAGCTGTAGCGTATCCATAGATATATACACTAGATATCGCTTAGGGACCCTAAGCATGCGCCAATAGCGCGGACACATTTGTACAGTGCTCCCAGGACAAATGTCATTCAACCGCACTAGTCAAGACCAAAGCCGATGTGAAGATGCTGGACTTTAGCGCTGTGTACGGGTGTAGTAATGAGCAAACAAAGAAAACAAAGCACAAAGGCAGAACATTTCATAGGTAAGATTTAGTTTTAAAGGGCACCTAGGTTACCCCTTTTTTCAGATTTCATATAAGTCTTTTGCGTCTCTAGAATGTGTATATAAAGTTTCAGATCAAAATACCCATCAGAGTTTTCTTTATACCTTTTACAAGATGCTGTTTTATACTGATTTCCAGCAGGGGGTGGTTTTGTCATACCGCGCCTTTAAGCTTTTTCTTTCCCGCCCACTGTTTCTACATGCCTCCTCCCTCAGCTGTGTCAGACAACAGACAGACTTAAAGGAAGGTCTCACGTAGCGTTTGTGAGATACTACAGTAAGAACTAACCTTTACTAATCAGTATTGTGAAGTTGCATTGATGAGTCACACACAATATCGTTACAAAGTTAACGCGCGCGCGCGAGCACACACACAAACACACACACACACACACACACACACACACACACACACACACACACACACACACACACACACACACACACCGCAGATGATACACACACACACGCAGGCAGGCAGACAGACAGAGCGCGCTTAGCCTAGTTAAGGCTAACCTCAAGTGTGGATATCTGTTACGCTAATGTACAAAATAAACCTGATTTAACTTCCACAAACCGGGATTGAAGCGTCTTCTTTTAATATTGTTCTGACACGCGGCTGTGCTGATGAAGTAAAGCTGAAGTAAAATGCTGTAATTAATTACACACATACTCTGTTTTAAAACACTTTAAACATGTGAAACTTACTCTTAATCACATTTGATGATGATTGCTGATCCTAGCGAACAGAACAGACCTTTTATTCCCGGTTGCTTTGCGTATGTCTGTCTGGTCTTGTTGACATATACACGCGACTAACGGAACATGTTAATGCGTGCAGCTGTCAATCAATTCGGTGGGCGGGGGATCGCACACCTACGTAATGGTGCGATCGATTTGAAAACAGCTCCAATTGGCCGACCCTTTTTTGTGTAGTTAAATTGAAAAAAAAGGAATTGGTGTGTTCATATCACCCCAGTATGACGGTCTATACCCTATACCAACACACAGATCTGTCCAAACAGCTTGAAAAGTAGATTTTTTACCATAGGTGCCCTTTAAATGTTTTTGTATGCTACGATTTTTTGTGCTCAACAAGTATTGACGATAAATGTCTCTTACTGCACTGTCCATAAGGCAAAGTAGCACTAACTTGCACTAAATACCAGGCCTAGGCCAGTTTTGTTGAATAAAATAAGCAAACAACGTAAAAATTTTTTTACAAAATGCTGTATTATTGTCAGCTAAGTAAACGAGTTGTTCATAACGAAGATTCATTCACAAATGAATCGCTCCCTCCGTCAGAATGAGAAGTGAAAGTAGGAGAGGGGGTGTGTTTCAGGACACTGGGAAAACTCCCGACCATAGATATACGTGTGTATATCTCTGGCTCTGGATGGTCTGTCCTAAACTGCAACTTGGTCCCACATTCATTTTAAAGGAGCGCTACCCTGTACTAAAATGGCAGCTCCATTGACGCATTCCTTTAAATAGACAACAACAGGGTAGGCGACATCCAATGGAAATATATATGTAGCCCATCAAACAAAAAGCAAATAAAAAGTGTTTTGAAGGGGGTGGGGCATGTCAGATACTATTAGGGGTTTGATTGCTTTGATGAGAAAATAAGGTATGAGGTGATGTAAAAAAAAAAATAAAAAAAAACATTGATCTATTTAGTAGGAAGTGACAAACTGCAAACTTTACGGGCCCTATCATACACCCGGCGCAGTGTGGCGCAAGGCGCGGCGCAATAGTCTTTTGGTAGTTTCAGGTTGGCGCATTAGTCGTTTTGAGGCGTTGCGCTATGCTGATTAAATAGCAAATGCATTAGCGCTCATTTATGCGCCCATAGGCGTTCTGGTCTAAAAAGGGAGGCGTTCTGAGGCGCACTGCTGGCGCGTTGCTATTTTGAGAAACTATAATAGATTTTTCATTAGACCAA